AGAGATTATGATAATTAAAAGGGCATAAACGTGGATCTATTGAGCCACATAAATTTCTAGTGACAGTAGAATTACTTGCTTATAATGTTCTGATTCTGGACATCATTAAAATCTTGTTGTAAATCTCTTAAGGTCAAGTACCAACGAAGTTGTTTTCTGTGTTAATATTTTCTACGCAATTACATTCAGTTCTTCTATCATTACGTGTTATAAATATATGTTTCACTTGCTTACCTTCCTCATTCGCTCGTTACATCCATGAGAACCTAGTCATCTAATAACATACAACGCAGACACAGCATTAACTGAACCTCCTCACCGCTCGCCTACTATCATTCACATATAAATATATAATATGCTCCTCTTCATCCACTCGCTTCTGCTCACCACCGTTCTCGCTGCATCCATCCCTTGCCCACTGTCTCCACTGAATGCTTTGTCAACCGCTCAATCTTCGGCATAAGGTTGACCGTACGGATGATTTTCTGACGATGCTCACCCAGAGTGATGCGGATGGCAGCTTGTTCTTGCACCACTTCTTGAAGAATCCGTCGGGCTTCAAGAAGCTGTTCGGTTGCATTTCGGAGGATGTCGTCGGTGATGTCGTTGTGCAGACTGAGGATATTCGGTTTGGGTTGAAACACTTCAAGGTTGATGACGTCTTCGGCAGGATCAGGAACAATGCCGTTCTTCTTCAATAACAGTGTGATCAAGGCAGGATACGGTAGGTTCGTTCCTTCAGTCTTCTGGCCTCGTGAGAACTTGACCATTTTTGACATCACAATAAAACCAAAGTTAATGTTAGGACAAAAGCGATCGATGGAATACATTAGTTTACCCATTTCAGAACCAATACTGGTTCCATTGCTGGTTAGAAGAATGTTCTTGGCGCAGAGACGGAAAAGACATTGAAATCTCAGGGAAAGCTCAGAGGCACTGAGTCCTTTTCTACCAAAGTCCACTGACTTGCGTGAGGACAGGAACAGGGCAACATCTCTCGTGGAGTCTTTCAGAAGATCAGAGGGTAGCTCTTCAGGATTGTCAATAGGGAGTTTTAACAGCTTGTTTATGACGCGCGGGCTTAGCTCAAAAACCTTGCCACGCACATAAGCTTTGTGAAACCAAGGAGAGTCTTGATCTAAGACATGAGCAGAAAGGTTAGCGTAAAACTCCTTGACCAATTTTGGACAGTACTTCCGTAGTTTGACAGCCCAGTGAAACAATCCTTTCCGGCGCAGATAGTCGGAAAAGCCAACCTCCAAATGCTCATTGCTTGTGAATTTCTTTTCAACCACAAATTTTCGGTCGGCGAGAATGTCATACTCAAACACTTCAGCAAGATCATCAAAGTGTGTAGTATCCATAGCTTGTTGCGCAGTAATGGAATGAGATCCGTGAGCTTTCTGACGAGTTTTGGACTTCTTTCCCTTTATGACTTTCTTTGAAAAAGATCGTTTGAGCCTTTTTCGAAAAGACCCGGGAACACCAGCACACAACTTCCTCTTTTTGGAGGGTTGTCTCTTTGACGAGGATGGAGTAAACTCAGCCTCCATGGCCTGTTCTGCAGATGGTTGTTGTTCTGGTGTCGCAACAACCTCATCACTACCTTCCACCATTTTTCCAAGTAACAGAGATTCAGGGACTGTGTCTGGTCCAGACGTTTCGGAAGATGACTCCTTATCTTGAGAAGGAAGCTGACTCACGACCCTGTCAATGAGAGCATCAAGATCTTCAGAGGAAGAACGAGGCTCAAGATTTGTACCTTCTATTCAATACCATGAACAACTTGTTCCGTAGGAACTTCTTCTTCAGCAACCACTTCATCTATATGTGTGTTAGTGACCTTATGTTCAGCGACGTGTTGTGGAACAACTTCCTCAGCATCACCAGCATTTTGAACTTCTTCAGTAACCAGGGGCTCCTCAGCAACCTTTTTGAGTTCTTCAATGGGGGCTTCGCCAGCGATAGTTGGAGGCTCTTCTTCAACAGCAACAGCAACTTCATTTCCAGTGATGATACCTTCATTTGGAGTAACATTTTCCTCTAGAACCTTCGATTGTTCATTCAAGGACTGTAGGGTTTGTGTAACAGTATCATCCTCTGCTTCCTTCAGATTTCCTTCGGCCAGTGGCGGAAGATTATTAATCGATTCAGAAACCTCCATGGGGTCGGGAGAGGGACTAACAGTTTCACTTCGTCGACCACGACCTCTGCCTCGAGTGCCAACACGCCCACGTCTACCACCTTCGGCTCCAGCGCGACGAACATTCCCAAAACGGGTTCGAGCCATGATTTTTCGCAAGAGAGAAAAGAATGAGGGAAAACCTTGTGACTGGAGGAGGTTATCTCTACAGACGACAACTGCCAAAAGAAATAGCCAGAGTAGAGAGGCGATCAGAACACGCTTTTGAATTTTCAATTAAGAATTCTCCCCCTTAGTCAATCAATTCCCCAAAAAGATGTCTTGACACAGCAGCTGCAGCGTTACTGACAACTTTAAGTCACTTCAACTTCTGCAACTTAAATCCCTCTCTCTGGAATGATCCTTATCACCACGATTCCCAAAATCCAATTTCCAGAGTATATAATTTCTCCCCTTACATATATAAATATATAGATATATATATATCTCCAATATTCATCAATGAAATCAAAATAAATTGGAGATAAATAATTTTTGACTTATGCAATGAAATTCAGAGAGGGCATGAACACATACCCAAGTTCCTCCTTAACTTCTCGAATTGGTCTCCATCCAGAGGCTTTGTGAGAATGTTTGCTTTCTATTCAACTGTTCCAATGTGTTGCAGATTACACACCCCATTTTCTACCAAGTCTCGAATGAAATGATATCGAATGTCGATATGCTTTGTCCTCCCATGCTGAACTGGATTCTTGGAGATATTAATAGCACTTGTGTTGTCACATAATAGAGTGAATGAATCCTGAATAATGCCATAATCATGCAGCATCTGTCGAATCCACAACAATTGAGCACAACAGCTCCCAGCAGCAATGTACTCAGCCTCAGCAGTGGATAGTGCAATTGAATTTTGTTTCTTCGAACTCCAACTCACAATATTGTCCCCGATGTAGAAACATCCACCAGTTGTGCTTTTCCTATCATCGCAACATCCAGCCCAATCTGAGTCCTTGAATCCAATAAGATCAAGACTAGATCTGTTTGAATACCATAGCCCAAGTTCAGCTGTCCCTTTGACATATCTGAGAATTCTCTTTGCAGCCTTCAGATGAGATTCCTTAGGAGCTGATTGGAACCTTGCACATACGCCAACACTGAAAGAAATATCTGGGCGACTAGCAGTCAGATACAGCAAACTCCCGATTATACTTCTGTACAATTTCCGATCAATAATCTTCCCATCATCATCCTTCGATAGCTTATCCTGTTGTCCTAAAGGAGTCCGGACAACCTTTGAATCACGAAGGCCAAATTTCTCAACCATATTCTGAGCATACTTCGATTGACTCAAGAAAGTTCCATCTGCTAGCTGCTTAACTTGTAATCCCAGAAAGAAATTGAGCTGACCAATCATACTCATTTCAAATTCAGCTTCCATGAATCTCACAAATTCGTTCTTCAACGATTCAGCAGTTGATCCAAACACAATATCATCTACATATACTTGTGCAATCATAAGATCTTTTCCCTGTAGCTTGATAAACAGGGTCTTGTCTGTTGATCCTCGAACATACTTCTTTTCCAGCAGGAAATTGGACAGCCTCTCATACCAGGCTCTTGGTGCTTGCTTAAGACCATAAAGCGCTTTCCTCAGTCTGTACACATGATCTGGATGAAAAGGATCCTCGAATCCTTTTGGTTGTTCAACATAAATTTCTTCTTTAATCCATCCATTCAAAAATGCTGTCTTGACGTCCATCTGGTAGAGAGTAAATCCCAAGGAACATGCAACAGATACCAGTAATCTCACTGCTTCAATACGTGCAACAGGAGCAAATGTTTCATCGTAGTCAATGCCTTCAATCTGTGTGTACCCCTGTGCAACTAACCTTGCCTTATTTCTGATGATATTCTCTTGTTCATATGATTTATTCTTGAAGATCCACTTCGTTCCAATAACATTCACATTAGTTGGCCTTTCAACTAAGTACCAAACTCGATTCCTTGTGAACTGATTCAGCTCATCTTGCATTGCATTAATCCAATATTCATCCTTGAGGGCATCGTCTACTGTCTTTGGCTCAACTGTGGAAATAAAACAATTCATCCCAGACAAATTCTTAAAATCAATTTGTTTACCTCGAGTTAATCTTCCTCCTTTTGGATCACCAATAACTGCATCAATTGGATGGTTTTGTGGAACTCTGGAACCATATCTTCTTGCTTCAGTATCAGATTCACTCTCTGCAGGTTGTAAGTTGGTTGTGGTAATATCGGTTGAACACTCTGGTTCTGACCAATCAAATCTGACTGAGCTCTCTGCAGCACTGTCACCAGTCTGAGGTACATCATTCTGAGTCTGAGGAACATTCTGAACATCTGGATGACTCTGAATTACTTTGGTGGGAGTGGCTTCATAATCATCATCATCATCATCATCATCATCACTCGGATGTATGGATTTCTTTTCCGAGAGGGCATCATCAAATATCACATTCACAGATTCCATCACCTTTTTAGTTCGATTGTTAAAGACTCTGTAAGCTCTGGAATTCAGAGAGTATCCCAAGAATATACCTTCGTCTGATCTAGCATCAAACTTATGTAGTTGATCTCTGTCCTTCATAATATAGCACTTACACCCAAATGTATGAAAGTATGAGACATTTGGTTTCTTTCCAGTCCAGATTTCATACGCTGTCTTTTCTGTGTGGGGTCTGAGATACACTCGATTAATCACATAGCAAGCTGTGTTAATAGCTTCAGCCCACAAATATTTGGCAACTCCCTTGGCATGCATAATTGACCTTGCCATTTCCTGTAGGGTTCGATTCTTTCTTTCCACCACTCCGTTTTGTTATGGAGTCTTTGGGGCAGAAAATTCATGCTTAATTCCCAATCCATTGCAGAATTCAGCAAACCTGCGATTCTCAAACTCCTTTCCATGATCAGTTCTCAACCTGTCAATCTTTGATTTCTTCTCATTCATAAGCCTTGTACTAAATTTTTCAAAGGCATTAAAGGCATCACTTTTCTCACGTAGGAAATCTACCCATGTATATCTTGAAAAGTCATCAACACAAACCAGGATATACTTCTTACCTCCAAGACTGCAGATATCGACTGGACCCATGAGATCCATATGCAACAGCTCCAGACAGTTGCTGCTGAAACGTTGTTCCAGTGAGGAATGTACAGCTCTCTTATGTTTTCCTCTCGCACAGTCACCACACGTAGTAATCGGGATCTTTGAAAATTTGGGTAATCCTCTGATAGCTCCAATTTTGCTAATCCTCGATAGATTCTGTGGATTGACATGACCCAATCTGGTGTGCCACAACATAGATTCATCATCTTTCAATATCAATGCTTCCATTTGAGGATATTCCAGCAAGTAACAATTGTTCTTTGATCGAACTCCAGTCATCACGCATTTTTGTTCAGTATCATATACTTCACATGAATTTTTCGTGAACTTCACATGTAAGTCATCATCACAAAGTTGACTAATGCTGATCAAGTTTGTACTCAGTCCTTCAACATAGTAGACTTTCGACAACTTTGGAATCCCTACTTTTTTAAGAGCGCCATATCCACTGATTTTTCCTTTTGCACCATCACCAAAGATAACATCTCCACTTCGGTCTTCAACATAATTTTTCAGAAGTTCTTTTTGATTAGTCATATGTCGTGAGCAACCACTATCAAAGTACCATCGATCTGCCCTGGTAGACTCTTGACTTGACAGAATCACATTGCATTCCACCTGTTTCAGACCTTCCTTAGGCATCCACACCAATTTGACTTTGATGTTATGTTTCAGACCTTCTGTAGGCCATCGAATGTGTTTCCCATTGATAACATCCTTTGCCAGTTTGAAACACTTCTCAGCTGAATGACCAGGATACAAGCAGTACTAGCAGTCAGTAGGCTGTAATAACGACGATCGATCATTCTGAGTTCTTCTGCGATATCTGTTCCAATTTCTGTTTTTGCTCTTCTTTGGATTCTGTTTCTTTACAGATACTGAATTCTTCTCTGGAAGTTTGACATCAGTTAACAAACCACCACGCACAAATGTAGTTGGTTTACTTTGAGAAGATCCACAGAATCCCAATCCTTTGTGATCACCAAATGGTTTACCAATCGAAAGGACTTCATCTAATTTTTCTTTTCCTTTCCGAAGTCTATCATTTTCATCCTTCAAATTCAAATTCTCTGACTTCAACTTCTGTGATTCAGCAGATTTATCATCAACAATCTTCCTCAGTTTTTCAAGTTCATCCTCAAGTTTTTCTTTTTGATCTTCCAGACGATAGATTGTTTCCAGCATCTCCTTGTTCTTCACTACAGCTTTCTTCTGTTCGATTACCATTTCCTCATAGGCTTCGATCAACTCTTCAGCATCAAGTTCCCTTGACTCATCAGCAGCTTTCGGGTTGGATTCCTCATTTCTTTTACTGATTTCACCAGCATTTGCCATAAATGCCACCACTTCATCACTTTCTGTCAGTTCCTCACCTCCAGCAGATTCACCATCTTCATTGTCACTCCATGTGGCTTGATAAACTCTCTTTTCCCTCTTCTTTACTGTTGGACAATCTGATTTAATATGTCCAACTCCACCACATCCATAACAGGTAGGTTCTTGAACCGTCTCTGGTTTTGCAGACACCACAAACTTCTTCTTAAATTCACCATCGAATCTTTCTTTTGGCTTGTTGTATGTAGTTGGTTTCTGCTCAGGGTATTTTCGTTGAGAACTGGATGTTCCTCCTCCCTGATAGCTATTTCTGTTCTGAAACTTCCCAAACTTCAGCTTGGCAGCTCGTTTCTCACTAATCATTCGCGAAAGTTTACGGCTCAGCAGTGCCATTTCTTCATCAGACTCTATCATCTTCAAGTCTTCAGCATTTAGAGCCATGCTTTTGGGTGCTTCATCTTCGATATAGTTCATTTCATAGCTCACCAACGTACCATACAGTTCATCCAATGTCATATTTCTCAGCTTTGGTGGTTCATCAAGCATAATCACTTTCGGTCTGAAATATTTTGTGAGACTTTTAAGCATTTTCCTCACCAGTCTCTTTTCTTCGAAGTGCATTCCAAGAGCTTCAGCTTGATTCACAACATCCATGAATCCGTTATGATAATCAGCAATCGTTTCATCTTCATTCATCTTCAGTCCTTCAAACAAGGTTTCAACATGATCCAACTTTGATTCTCGAACCTGTACAGACCCTTCAAATGCATTTTCCAGGATGTCCCATGCTTCCTTAGCAACTTTGCAGTTGGATATCAGCTTCGCTTGAGTTTCATCTACAGCATTAAAAATCGAGAAAAGGGCTTTCGAGTTGGCGATTGCAGCCGACTTTTCATTGGGAGTCCATTCTCTTTTCGGTTTCTTCACAAGAGAGATGATATTATCTTCATCTTGGATGGTCTTCATGGGATGAGACCATGCAGACTCAACAGCTTCAGAAACATCTTCACCTTGTAGCATCAGAAAAGCTTCCATCTTGTTTTTCCAACTTCGATAACTTGTTCCATCAAACAATGGAGGTCTCGATGTAGATCGACCTTCCTTACTCATCTTTGCAACTGTGAAAGAATCTACTCAGCAACTTAGAGAACACCGCTCTGATACCAAATGTTGGGATGGAATAAGTGCAACCCCAATAAATTCTTGTACACTTTTCCAAAAGGGCCAACTCCCGAAGCGTGGTAAAATCACAGTTATAGCATCATCTTGTCAACGAAATAAGGACAATATCCAAAGCAATAAAAGACAAGATATTTGGTAACCCGGTTCGGTTATAACCAACCTACATCCGGGGGATTCCAATCCAGGAGAAGTTCACTAATCAAAGTTGATTATGAACTAAACAGCCCAAGACTCCTTCATCCCATACTATAATGCAAACCACCTAGGAAAATCCCTCCACAGGTATAAGTTGTCACGAACTCGTAATGACAACTAGCAGATAGCAGGGTTGCTCAGACTTTGGACGAATCTCCTGATCGGATTTCCAATCTCTTCTTCCTCCGACGATGTCTCCGGCAAGTAAATGTGTCTAGCACTCTTTCAATGCATGGAGAAGGGAAGGGTTGGGGTTGAGATGGTTTAACTTACTTTCTCTCACAACAGTTCTCTCTCTAAACCCATGCAACAACCAAAAAACTCCCCCACGACTTATCAAGAAGCAGACAAACAAAGCAACAGGACAAACTCAATTAAAACCCTTTGCACGAAAGTGGAATGATGTATTCCTGCATGAACTCTGTCAAAGGTTGACCACCCAAAAATTCATTCTTTTTGTCTCTTCTAAGCTTCCCAAATCGAGAAGAGCAGACCAGCAGAGTTGCAGGCAGTCTGTTGTAGTAACCTGAATGGAAACAAGGAAAGGCAGCAGGGGAAAAGCAAGAAGAACCATATGCCAAAAAAAAGTTGGAGAAAAATATTGTTCCAACAATTTTTTATAAATTTTTATTGCTTTTCGATAGCTCCAACTTTGTAAGGGAATTCTCTAGATAGGAATGGCGAGGGGAGTTGAGATTTTCTCCTCTTCTAGCCGCTTACCTTACTGTTTTCTAAAATATTTTACTGCTTTGTTTTCTTGCTTTGATTTACTGCTTTCGTAATGTAGAGTTTTATTGTTTTCTTTAGTAAGTAATGAAATATCAAGATTTCTCATTTTTCACTCCTATCAAGAGTCATATTTGCGTCTAAATATTAGGATTAGAATTCTATTTCGTTGTGGAAGAACATAGAAGAATCGACTATCTTAGCCTAGTTTCGTGTCGTATTCATTAACAGATTCTAGGTAGTTCAATGTAGCTAAGTACGCGGGAGCCTTGCGACCTGCTTAGTTGCTGTTCTGAATTTGATTGTGATTAAAGAGAGGGAATAGAAGGGTAAAGTCACTAATGAGACAGAGATTATGATAATTAAAAGGGCATAAACGTGGATCTATTGAGCCACATAAATTTCTAGTGACAGTAGAATTACTTGTTTATAATGTTCTGATTCTGGACATCATTAAAATCTTGTTGTAAATCTCTTAAGGTCAAGTACCAACGAAGTTGTTTTCTGTGTTAATATTTTCTACGCAATTACATTCAGTTCTTCTATCATTACGTGTTATAAATATATGTTTCACTTGCTTACCTTCCTCATTCGCTCGTTACATCCATGAGAACCTAGTCATCTAATAACATACAGAACCTAGTCATCTAATAACATACAACGCAGACACAGCATTAACTGAACCTCCTCACCGCTCGCCTACTATCATTCACATATAAATATATAATATGCTCCTCTTCATCCACTCGCTTCTGCTCACCACCGTTCTCGCTGCATCCATCCCTTGCCCACTGTCTCCACTGAATGCTTTGTCAACCGCTCATCTTTACTTACTTTTCTTTAAATTTTGTTTTAGTTAACTCTTCGGCTCGCTTGCGAGCGAGCCAATCTTACTATTTTTCATTATCTATATCTGAATATGTACAATAATACATAATTCACCCAACAAATTCATAACAAATTTTTTATTCTAACTTTTAAAATCAAATTTTTTTGTATTAGGGACCGATGGAGTAATATATATATATATAATTTTTAAAATTACTAATAAATAAAATATTTTTTGTCTTGTGTATTAAAATCCAATATAAATTTAAATAAATAACACATTTAATATATAAAATAAAATTTTATATATTACAATACTTACAATAAAAAAATTATATAAAATACTATACTTCATAACAAATAAAAAATAAAAAAGAACATATATAGTCAAGATTAGTCTAATAAAAGGTGCTATAATCTCGTCATCTTAAAAAAGTTAAAAAATTGTATAAAATTAATAATAATAATAATAATAATGTCATGAAATAAATATTATTCAAATTATCTTTGAATCCATATCAACAAAACTTACAAAATCAATAAATAACACAATATTATATTAATCTAAATAACACAATATTATATTAATCTGCAATATTACAGTGTTGATTATTCATCTTAATAGAATATGATATCATCTTTAAATCTTAAAAATATTTGAAAAATGATATCATATTATTAATAATAAAAATATTTAAAACATAGAATAAAGATTATTTAAAATAATATATCAATTAATTAAATTGTGCCTAAAAACTTAAAAAAATTAAACTTTATTAAAATAATAGTAAAAAGTAGGTATATGGGTGTGTTTGTTTGGGTTTTCCCTCCAAAAATATCAAATCAAACATTTATTTTTCATTTTTTATATTATACTAAAAATCAATTTTACATTCAAACATCACATAACACCTATTTATATCACATCATACAACTATTCAAATTCAAAATTTTTACTATTCAAATCCCAACCCAAAATCCAAACCCTTAGTTTTCATATATGTATATATCCAAATTAAAAATATATAAATAAATCAAAAAAACAAATATAAAACTACTAATTAATTATTTCAATACTATACCAAAAATTTCGATCAGGTATCCACAGAAATTACCAGTATACCAAATTTTTCTGTATTTTCGATAAAATAAATCAATATTTCAATATTTTCGATATGGTTATCCATCCCTACACTCATCATATTAATGGGATATTTTTTATTTTTAAAATATCAAATCCACAGCAAAGACAGTGAACAATCCAAAACTATCTAGTAAAATAAACTAAGAACAATTTCCCAAAGGGTCCAAAAAAGTGGCAGTGAAATAAAAACAAACCCTTCATCACCACAACTATCTGATGCATCTCTTTAACATATCCACAAAACCATAAAATAACATTACAATGGCCAAATTCTAACAAGCAAAAATTGAATGCAACATCACACCAAACCGTAGTCCAGCAAAGCTTATAATCCACATACTGCAGCAACGAGTAAGGTTACCTACCTCAATCGGACAGCTCCGCATACTGCCATGGATTGAACTCTGTCGACTCGACATCATCCACTTCAGCGGCCATGGAGGACTGGATGGCATTCCGGTGCTCTGTGTACTTTCCATTGTAGCTGTATATTTCCAAGTCACCCCATGGAGTGGATGTAATATCATCAGTTTGATCGAACCACTTTGGGGTGAAATGATCGCCCTTTGCTTCTCGGGCTCTCTTTTCGGCTCTCTGTCTCTCTTCCAAACTAAAATGGTGTGATAATGAAAACAACAGATGGAAGTTAGGCCCAAGAACGGTGAGACATTAATTAATTTTCCGTCACAAGAAATTAGTCAAGGACTGTAGAATGTACATAAAAATTCAGTAATCATTGAGGAAATGCATAATGTAAGAAAATTGAAAAAAAATTTCACAAGCCAGCAATAAGAAATGTAGTAAATAATTATTTCTTTCAAAAGGGTGTTTTGAGGAAATTCCGATGCAGCCATGCTCACTAGATGTCACAGCTCTGATTGATTCCTTACAATTGATCATCAAAGGGAAGTTAGCCACAACATTAATTTGTCAAGAACCTTTTTCACTGGCTTGCCTTGAGCTTACGGAAAAAGTTGTATGCAATTAAGTTAGCCACAACATTAATTTTTGTCTAGAACCCATTATGTAACGAGAGAAGTTTAGGACCAATATAACATTGTTCAAGACTTATCTAATCAAATATGGCCTACGTAGAAGGTAAACAATGCTAATGATACTTTGAATCAAGGTCATATTGCAGTTATAAATAGAACATGTCAAAGCATATCAAATATTCTACTTATTAAATGCTTGATGTTCTTAAAGGTTCAATATAGATTAAGTGGCACTATTTTAAAAAAAAAAAAAAATTATTATTATCAAGAAAGATAATTACCTATTTGAGTTATTCACAGTCAATTGATTTCAAATAGGAAAAGTACAGAGAACAAAACAATAGCAACCAAGAATCAACAGTGTGCAGCTTGTTGTTCTAGAAAGCATAACTAACTCCATAGAATGTGTAATGGGGTAGCCAAAAGCCATGAAGTGAATTTAAATGAACACAAAGCCACAAACAATGGTGATTTAATGCTAAACATCAAGGCTCATAAACAGAAATCTTCTTATTTAAGCATGTTCGTTAGTGTGCTTGTGTAGGGGGAGAGACTGACCTGCTCTTTGCAGCTCCAGCCTTAGATAGGTCACCTTTCTCAAGTGCCCATCTATCAGGACGTAAACGTGAATCTGATGGCAACAACTTCTTGGGTGCAGTGTCAAAGCTGTTTAATTTATGTGCAAAATGGGTAAATTGAAATTTGTCATTTGGTGGAGCTTCAGCAACATGCCAAACCTACAAATGCAATTCATATAATAATTTAATCCTCAATTTCAAAGTTGAAAAGAATAGAAAGATCAGTTCAAGATCTCAGAATATACCAAATTTTGTAGAGGTTAAGAAGCAGATAACAGTAAATGTATGAATTTTCCCACCTCTTTCAATTCTGTGCCAGTTAGAGGTTCTCCTTCCCGATCACATGGTTGGTAACTTATGGACTCACTCCATTTCCCGGTCATCAATATTTGAGGTTCTTCTTCAGCATTGTATACATACCCATCCACCTCATATCTATTAGCTCTGCATAGGGAATGGATATTGATATTAGAGACAGCTTTAAAACAGCCCATGAGGTTGATTTTACCAATCAACAACTCCACAGTCAAAATTCCTGTAATTATAATGACTGGAAGTGTTTTAAAAAGTCATTTTTAAAGTAGGATAATTATTCGCTATATCTGAGATTATATTTTTTTTAAACTAGCTGCATCCTGTTAATTTATTATCTGAAAGAATCTCCTCTTACAGACAACCAATAACCACCAGTGCAACAATCCCTGGTCCTCGGCATTGTCATAAGAATCAACCGAGGAAGAGAAACAAAAAATGGCACCATTATCAAATCAAATGTACAAACAAAATCTGCTCTTTGACATTACCCCAAACCTGATCTCAATCAAATAGGCATCTCAACCATTAAATTCAAGAACCAGAGAATTCATGAAAGGTATGACAAGAAAATCATAAACTACCGTGAGAGACAAGAACTAAGATGGGAAGTGAATGCACACAAGACAAGGGTTTTATTTTTCCATTAGTTTCATTTTAAGATTTTTGGATTAAAAAATTCCATAAATCAATCATTAATGAAAGAAAATCTATATTAGGCTCATCGGTCATTATTTTCCCAGAGAAGAAGCAATGACAGTGTCTGGGGAATAGAGAAATTGGCTGACTAAAGAGCAAGAATAGCTGGAAGTAGCATACCCGAACCAACCACAAGGTTGAAAATACAAAACAACTTTGTCCCCTGTAGTCATATTTGTCATGATCATTTCTCCTGGTGAATCAACCCAAGTACGGCCAAAAATCAAGTTGTTGACTTTTGTTGGAGGCGGCACCAAATCCAGGACAACACCATCTCTTTTGAGAGTGACACGAGTTCTGCATTGAAGATACCACAAATTCTACTCAGAATGGATCAATTATTTCAATAAAAGAAAAAAAGGATGCTAAATGACTTTTTGCATATATATATATATATATATGTATATACATAAAGGTGTAATGAAACTAGTATAATTCATGCAAAAATACCTTCCAACAGGATAGACATCAAGAGAGTTTCCTAAAAATTTTGTTCTTAACTTAGATGTCACATCATATGTGAAATGCTCATTTTCAGCATGACCAGCACTCATTGGAGGATGATGGCTGACCTACAAAATTGAAAAAATCTTAAAATTAACTTAAACCCTATAAAAGCAACACAATATATTTGAACAAGTTTTATTCACAACAAGTTCCGGAAATGAGAATGTGGTTAGCACCTATCTTTTCCCACAAGATATGATCTCAACCAGTATATTCTAGAGAAATATTGATTCATCCAACGTTTTTAGATGAATTGATTTTTAGTATGTGGTACAAGGAATTGTGTCAAAAATATAAAATATATTATTTTGAAGTTAAATATTTGACTTTTTGTAATGAATATTTGAAGTTTTTTCTTTACTTTACGATTTTTGTAAAAAGTATTTAGTATTATTTATTATTATTTTTGGGGACACAATTCAAAAATAGTGTTGGAAGAACAGTGATGAAGAAATTAATCGATAAAAAAGTATATTGGATTATAGAACACAAGTTCATTAGATGACCAATTCACCTGCTCTGAGAGGAATGTAATCCCATCATGGTTAACCATTTCGTAAGTCTCACCAAGAATTGGATTGAAAGGCTTCCAGGTACGTTGGTAAGCAAAATAAACAGATACTGCCCATGATGCTGGATTAAAGTGCAACAGCAGAAACTAAAGTATCATAAATCTCATGTATTACACTTTTTATAAGTAAAAATCCCTGCTGTTTAAAACAAGATTACTTACAGGCATACACCATCCGCATGTATGGGTCTTCACATGTATCAGCTAGATCTAAAAGATGGGCGTATTCCATTAACTGTCATAAAAAATAAAAATAAAAAAAATGAAAAAAACCATATAAATAGAACCAGGTGAGGTGGGAGCCTGTGACAACAGTAGTAGAAACAGCAGCCGATGATAATGCACAAACCTCTGCCATTTTCTGTAACATTGTCATTGGCTCAAATATGAGGACGGGGAGAGTCACCATTGATGTGACATCAGAACCAATATATTTTTGCATCATTTTCCAATAACTATCTCGTTCCTTTGATGGAAACAAAAGATGTATCAGTTCATACACCAATAGACATGCATCCACATGGCAGTTAAAACGACTTATAATGCAGCAGGTAATAACTCATGCATAATACATAAAGTATGAGAACTACAGATACAGAGAGAAAAACATTAATTTTAAAAAATAAAGAAAAAAAAAAAAATCCAAGAGTATTGTTGATATTTCAAAAAATATTCCAAACACAATTTGGAGATAATTGAGTTCTTTCATTGTTTAATACAATGCCAAAACATTGTAATGGATAAATGTGATAAAAAAGTGGAAAGAGTTTCAACCACATAAACTTGATTTGGAGTTTTGATATGCATTTAGTCTTAAGATATGGCAAAGTATGATCGTATAATAAATCAATTTTGCAATAAAATTTGGAAATCCTAGTACAAGTGCATGGAGGAGTTGATTCTTCCATTACCATGAAAAGTATAAACTTTATTTTGGAAAAAGGCATCAAAATCATTTTTGAGAAAAATAAAATAACCCCAAGAAAACTCACTTCCTGCCTAAATCTTCCTTTATGTGCTTCCTCTTCAGCATCTTCTTTTCCTCCTTCAGGATTAATAACTTCTACCCCTTCATAGCCAAGAAATCTAGGCAATGAAAAAGGAACACAAATTTAAAATAAATTACATTATAACTTGTCATGTATTACAAAATAGAATAAATTAAAACAATATAACCCATTTCAATGTGAACAAGATTGAAACAACAGAATTGTTTTTAGTTCATTGGAAAATTATAATTCCTAAGAAATTAAAAAAAAATAAAATAAAATCCAAAAGTATGAAGCAACTTTGTCTCTAATGTGGTAACGAATTATATTCTTCATATGCATCGTTATCATAAAGAAATGGAAATACTTGCATGACAAAGGAAAAGATAACCAAAGCAAAAAGAACATGTCCTTATGTTTGGAATCTCATACATGAGTTGTTTAAAAGTTGTTTTTCTGATTGCAATATTATGTTTTTGAAAATAATAATAATAATAATAATAATAATAATAATAATAATAATAATAATAATAATAATAATAATCTATTTGCAAATAAAAGATGCCCAAGAAAAGAGAAGAACGGGTGTAAAAGATATGATAAAATATTGGATAGATTCATAGAGAGCTTGGATAGTAAATATATTGCTTTTGAATCCATAATTTTAGGCAAGATTCAATGGAAAAATTAACATCTTCCAAGAAACAAAACAAAAGGGAAAACCAAACTCCATTTCAACCATTAGGATAGCATTCCAATCAAGTCTTTCATTTAATTTTTCCTTCCATAGCTAATGTACAATAAAGTATAGCATACGTGCCCTCTTTAGCCATTGTAAATTTTTGGATATTTAAAATAATAAACACCAAAAGGGCGGGTTTGGATGTGTAATTTAAATTGAAATGGAGAATCCAAACAAGCTTTGTTGAATGAAGCCAATGCAAATGAAACCACCACAGCACAAAACCAATACAATTCTGATGTCAAATTTATCCTCTGCACTACTTACATTTGACCAAAAGACTAAACTAAGAACTCAATTTTAACATTGGTTTTATTGAAGGAGTAGAAAATAAACCTCCAAAATGCTCTGAGGAAATGAGTAAGGACACATAACTCACTCGATTTTACATTGTTTTATAAAAAAAAAAATGCTTATAATCAAGAACAAAACAGTTTTTTTTTTCCTTCACATCTCAAACATACCAAATCAAATGACATCTTGAGTACCAAAACCCTTGGGTGTCCACCAGAAAACTTCACAAATGTATGAATACACAAACTCGAGATATCTATTACTTCCAGATTTATATTTAAGATCGCAATCGACATGCCAATCACTTGGACCCTATTAGGCAGTAAAATCGCAACTATGCTGAAGCTGCAGCATTCATCAATCTACCAAGTAAATCGTAAGCTCCATCATTAGTGAAGCAAGGTTCCAAATTGAAACTCGTCAACATCAACGAAACTACAAGTGCACGGACAGAAATAAATTCGATAAAAACAAAACTCTTGAGTACACTAAAAAACCTGATTTTGCATCCAAAAAACTTAAAAACAGCAGAAGTTACAGCTATTTACCCGTTGACGGATCTGTGCATGGCGTTTCCGAAAATCGATAGCCCCGATGTCATGGCCGCAAAGAATCCCCCTTTGCTCTGATTCTTCTCCGGACTACCCATTTTTTCCGCAAGAAAAATCTAATTCAAATTACCTAACTCAAATCCGATTCAAATATATTCCAAATTACAGAAGGAATACAAATCGAATCCCAGCACTATCAAAAAATCAGGATTGGACCGGTCTGCGCGCTATCAATTTTTGAAATCCTCGATTCGATCGATCGATCGGCGATTCCTCTGAATACCGAAATGAATTCGATTCAGATTGGCCATATCTACAAAAACATAGGGGCAAATGTGGAAAAACAACAAAGCATATACAGAGTGGAACTACAATTCTTCAAGTTGGCGGTTCGTGCTTTCTAATTTCCTCCTTAGAAAATCCACGTGCGAGCCCCGCGCGTGGATCTACACCTCACATGTGATTGGAAGCGGCCGCCGGCGCGTGCCGCCGATTAAATCATTGACCCTCCGGAGTAATCAACGGGATTATTGCAGGCCATGGGTCCACGTTTACTAAGTTTGACCGTGTCAAATCTCTAAACCCACAGTTCTAATATGACTTAAGGGTTTGTTTCTTCGACGAGTCGTCGAAAATTTTAGTTTGAATTTAACATTAAAATAACATATTATGCGATATTTTATAAATGGAAAAATATATTTTCTTCGTCTCAAATATTGTGTATAATTAGTAGATAATTAAGAATGTACTGTGAAAATAATTATTTTATAATATAAATAATTATAAATTAAGATTAAGATAACTAATTAGTTTAATTAAAATTAAAATTAAAAAAAAATTAAAAATTTAAAATGAGATTAAAATGTGTAATCATTTTTCAGAAAATGAAAGTGACATGGTATGTGGAACGGACAGAAATGGGAACGTGGACATGGTATTGGGATGGAGGGAGTATTATTTTAGTTCACTGCTAATTTATTCATTTGTTTTTTTATATTAATCTTTGAATATTAATTATTATATCAAAATATAATATAAATCAAGAAAAAATGATAAAAATATTTTTATTGGTGTCTTATAATAGTAATGTAATGATATTTGTACAAAAAATTATACAAATATAACGATATTTTTAAATTTAAAAACAATGACGTCAAATGCAAATTGATAGATTGACTGTGAACAGATGTTGGCGATAGAAGGAGGTAATATTTTTTTTAGGAAACGTTTTCAAATAGTAGAAAATTGAGAATTTTTTGACTAAAGAAACACAATTATATTTTATTTTACTAAAAATTAAAATATTAATTAAACTAATAAATGTCATCAATTAATGGTGTGTTTCTTTTTGTTGAGTTTGAAAATAATTTGTTTGAATTTAGTATTAAAATAATATTTAATATCGGATACTTTGTGAGAAAAAAAATTTATTTTTTTCGAAAAATGCAGAGTTCAAACAGTAAAAATTTTTTTAAAAAAATTGTTAAATAAACGGATTTTAAATAAAAATATATATCCGGTTTCAATATATATTTTCAAAGTTTTTTTTAAAAAAAATAATAATAAATTAAATACTACCTCATTCCCATAAAAAAGGCAACATTTGAGTTTTGGATCATTGTATTTTAAAAATATCTTTATATTTATATTTATTCTTCAAATGTCAATATTTCTATTATCAAAGATTAATAAATGTATTTTTATCATTTTCTTTTTATTTGGAGTATGTATTGATATAACAATTAATATTCAAATATCAACGTGCAAAAAACTCACGGTACTCTTCTTATGGGGACGGAATATTATTAAATTTTATACCTTTAAAATGAAAAAAAATATGTGGTGTGATTATATTTAAAAATTAATATTGATGAATAGTTTTAAAAGTATTCAGGCAAAACTTCTTCAACTTTCTAGCACTACCTAACTATACAGCATATCAATTTTATTTTGGTATAAAAAAAATTTAGATAGTCCCTTCAATTCTCCCATATATACAAAAAGTACTAAAAATAGTTGAATATATAATTAACATTCCATTAATTGCATGCATCCATCCATTGCGGATTACCCACGAATATGTAGGAAAGCAGTGAGGCTTGGGTTGCATGATTTGTTGATCATGCATTGTGCTTTGTGAGTTGGCCGCCCGCCCGTCGTACGTGGATCCGTCGACCGACCGACCAACCGACCCTTAGCTGCTTCCTAATTAATTAATTAAATAAATATAATTAATAATTCTGTGATATTCTAACCTCGATTGGTCCCAATGGGAAGGACTCCTTTGGCCTATTCGGCGGAGTCCACGGCCGTACTTCCGATCAAAGATCCCCATTCCCAAAATTATCGTAATTGTTCCGACAACAACAGTAGCAGGTATTCAAAATGGGTGCCATGGCTGGTGCCCGCCATCATCGTGGCCAATATAATCATCTTTATCGTCACCATGTACGTCAACAATTGCCCCGCCCATTACGACGAGGCAGACTGCCTTGCCGCCCGGGAGCTCGGCCCCTTTGCGTTCCAAAGCACGCACGAGAACCCGTTGCTCGGCCCATCCTCCACCACGTGAGTGAGTCTCTCTATATTATATATATATATATATATATATTGATTTGATTAATTAACGTTGGGTTGGTTCGTTGTAGTTAGAGCTGTAAAAGAGCTGAATATAATCGAGTTTGTCATGTTTGAACTCGGATTGTTAATGATTCAAGTTTGGCTCGTATTCGTTCGTTAAGAGATACAAGTTTAAATTTTTATTTGAGCTCGGCTCGTTTAACAATTTTTTTCTTTATGTTTGGCTCGGCTCGTTAAGAGAAATTTTATTTTTTTTGTTTAATTTTTTTTTTAAATTTAAATTTAATTAATAATAATTATAATTTTTATTAATAAATTTAAATATAAAATATAAAAAAATACTCTCTCCTTCCTGAAATGGTGGCATGTAGTAAAAAAAACAAAAATACGCCTATTAGTATTGTGTAATATAAAAGTAATGGCATTTGTGTAATATACTGTAAATTGAAAAGATATTTATTATTTTAGGTAGGTAGTCGAATTACTAAATTAGGAAATCATAACCTCGTTTTGGACGGATGAAAATGAAAAATAGCAACCTTTCAATGGGATATAGGAAGTATAATATTTATAAAGATATATATACTTATTGAATACAAAATTATTAATTTAATTTTTCTAATAAATACTATTGAATATTCGCGAACTTGTTCAAGCTCGTTTGTGAACACAACGAGCTAAAATTTTTGTTTGTGTACGGCTTGTTTAGGTTAACGAACGAGCTCTTAACAAGCTCAAATAAACCAAATCGAACCAGACCAAGTCGAGTTCGCGAACTGTTTGTTTGTTTTACAGCTCTAGTTGTAATCACATTCCATTTCGTTCCATTCCATGTGATTAGGCTCCTTGCAATGGGAGCAATGGAGGTGAAGAAGGTGGTAGAGCAGCACCAAGTGTGGCGATTGGTGTCGTGCATGTGGCTGCACGCCGGGGTGATTCACATCTTTGCCAATATGTTGAGCCTTCTATTCGTCGGCATTCGTCTCGAGGAAGAATTCGGATTCGGCAGAATCGGTTTGCTCTATGTGATCTCAGGAATGGGCGGGAGTTTGTCGTCCGCTTTGTTCGTTCGAGACAACATCTCCGTGGGCGCCTCGGGCGCGTTGTTTGGTTTGCTCGGCGGAATGTTGTCGGAACTCTTTGTAAATTGGACAATATACGAGAACAAGGTTTGTGTGTATAGATATATAATTTATTAATAAATATTGTCACGTATGTTGATATGATATGCTCCATGACGAGTGCAGGTGGAATCGCTGGTGAGCTTGGTGATTATCATATTAATAAATATGGCGGTGGGAATCTTACCTCATGTGGACAACTTCGCCCATTTGGGAGGATTTAGCACAGGATTCTTACTGGGCTTTGTTCTTCTGATCCGCCCTCAGTTCGGATGGGTCAAGAACTTTAACAATAATAACTCCAAGCCCAAGTACAAGGCCTATCAGTGCTTCTTGTTGATCATTGCCGCCATCATTTTGATTGCCGGGTAATCTATAAATATAAATATATAAAATAATTTAATTTAATTTTCCCAATAATTAATGAATTAATTAAATAATTTAATTTGGTGAGATAGATTCACGGTGGGATTACTACTGCTGCTTCGAGGGGTGGATGGAAATAACCATTGCTCTTGGTGTCATTACCTGAGCTGTGTCCCCACGCCATTATGGAGCTGCGATGCACGATGCATGGTCAGTATCTATATATATCTAATCCTTATTTCATTCCAAAACTATAGTCTGGATTGTATTTAACACTGAATATATTGATAGTGGATAAAAAGTATGAGTAAAAAACTTTTTTGCCCTTGAGTATATTAGTATAAAAAATAGTGTCAATTGTGTATTAATAATAAAAAAAGTAAGGGTAATTTTACAGTGAAATAGTTATTTATGGAAATGAGCCTATTGTTTTGGGACGGGTAAACAGGACTATTGTATTGGGACAGAGGAAGTATGAAGGAAAAAAAAAGTAAAAAATACTTTTATTAATATCTTATAATACTAATATAATAATATTTGTATAAAACATTATACAAATATAAAAATATTTTTAATATTAAATTTAATAACAAAAGATAAATATAATTTTTAGAGATAGTTGTGGTAGAGATGGTTTGGTACGATGTATAAAAAAAATTATGTTGTATCGAAATTTACAATATGCAAAATATACCAAACATTATAAAATAAATTATTTTTTATTTTTAAAATATTATGTTATAAATATATATATCAATTTCAACTCCACAAACCTTTCCTAGAGTTTTGGAAAATTGTATATGAATAATTTCAAAAATTAATTTTTAAATATATGAAACATAGTACTATAATTATGTGTGATCATTTATATTTATTTATTTCTGTGTGTCTGCGGTTACGTTGGTGCAGTCCATCCAGTTTAACAATCAGCTGAACTTGACATGCGTGACGACCCATAGGAGCCAAATTTTTATGTTGGACGACGCCGTCAACAACACTGCCCGGATTCAAAATCTTTGCGTCGAGCTTTGCCGCTAGTTCATATTGTGCGTATACATATATATATATACACACACACACACGTGTGCATTGGCGGGCACGGTTGGATTAATTTGGGAGTTGGAATCATTTGGATCGAATATATATATATCAATTTTTATTATCCGGATTCGATTTTGATGTTTTTATATAATCGATTATATAAAATTTGGACTAATCGATTATCCCCAAAAACATCAAATCAAACACTTATTTTTATTTTTTATATTATACTAAAAATTAATTTTATATTCAAAATATCACATCTACACCTATTTATATCACATCATACAACTATTCAAATTCAAAATTTTTACTATTCAAATCCCAACCATTTATGGTGTGTTTGTTTTATTTTTTATTTTTTTAATTTTTAAAATTATAAATTTGATTTTTATTTTTTTAAATTTTTAAAAAATTTATTTAAAATTATAAAAATAAAAAGTTGTTTAAAATAATAGAAAAAATTGAATATTTGAAGAATAATAGAGAAAAATAGAATTATGATTGGAATAAAATTAGTTTGTGGACGGAGGGAGTATATATATATATATATTTCTCCGAGACGCCTCCGAGACGCCTAAAGCATGGGATCGTCACTGTACCCCGGAATCGATGTCGGTGTATCCAAGAAGGAAAGCCAAGCAATCATTTTCAGCGCGCGTCTTAGCCGTCATCTGCGCCTGCTTCATAGTCGCCGGAATTATCATATTATACAGGCGTTACAGATGCCGTTTCAAGGCTCCAAATCCGTCGGCACCGGCCGTCCATTTCCTGCCGGAGCCGCGCAGAGGACTCAAACTCGGAATAGGTTTGGTCATGCAAGCAACGCAGCGGTTGAAATATTTTGATTCCTAAGAGGATCATAAGCTAGACGAGATGCAAAATTTTGTGATTTTTTCAGAAGAAAAACAAACCATGTCGCGACCATAAATTGAATATGTTATATAATTATATATATATATATATATAGAGAGAGAGAGAGAGAGGGAGGGTGGGAGAGAGAGATTGAAATGTGTAATATGCAAGAAATTCATTACAAATGATGCCATATTTATAGGCAAAGAAAGTCTTAACATGCACGGTTATGCAACACTTCGTCTATGAAGATGAGACATAGCAAAAGTAGCAAAATATTGATATATATTTCCTTCGTCCCCAATACAAATAGTTTTGTTTATCATTTTTGTCCATTTTAAAACAATAGTTTTATTTTCATAAATTATCATATCGTAAAACTACCTTTACTTTTTCATTTTTATATATTAAGATAATTAATAAATATTGAAATAAAATAATTATAAATTAAAATTAAGATAATTAAATAATTTAATTAAAATTTAAAAAATTATAAATTATAAAATTTAAATGAAATTAAAATATATAATTATATATTTTTAAAAAATAATAACTAATTATATGAGAGGAAAAAAAAAATAATCACTTTTATGTCTTGAAAGTGGTTTGGTTGGAATTTTCTTCAAAATTTTTATTATTTTTTATTTATTAATTTATATTTAGAAGAGTCCTTGATTAAATTTTTATAGTATTTTATATTTTATATTTCTTCCAACTCGAGGTGTTTCAAAATTTTACTATTTAACTTATATTTTCTCTGTTACGGTAAGATGAACTATTTGGTTAGGGACACGGTATTTAGTTAGTATAAATTAGTAATTTATTAATAATAAATTATGATATTATTTAATATTTTTATATGAGTGGTGTTGTTAGTATTTTAAATATTTTTAGAATTATATCTGCAATATAAATATCATTTTGTAAATAATAATATTTTATATAATACAAATAAAAAAAAAATCTTTATTTATTTATAATTAACTTAAAACCAATTTTATAAAAAATGAGAATTTGTAAATATATATAAAAATATTTGTTTATTGATGAGAAATTGAGCAATAAAGGGGTTTTGAGTGGCCCTATGCGTAAAAAGTTAGAAATACACTTAAATTGATTTATATTTGTTAAATATATATAAGAAGAATAAATTTACGAAAAAGATCATCTTTTATTGGGACAGACAAAAAAAAAGAAAATAGATTATAGGGACGGAGAGGGTATTTTTTTTTAGTGATGCTGAAACTCACACCCACTATTTTTCGAATGTACATTAGGGTGTGTTTGTTTGAGGGATTTGTTTGGATTTCTACTATTCATTCTATTTTTTTCCCCAAAAAATATCAAATCAAACACCTATTTTTCATTTTTTATATTATACTAAAAATTAATTTTACATTCAAAACATCACATCAACACCTATTTATATCACATCATACAACTATTCAAATTCAAAATTTTTACTGTTCAAATCCCAACTCAAAATCCAAACCCTCAAACAAACACACCCTCCGTCCCATATCTATATATCAATATGTTTTTTTGTACGGAGTTTTAGAAATATTAGTATTATATTGAGATAAAGTAGAAATAAATGTAAAAAGACTAAATTACCCTTATTAGTATTGTATAATATAAAGGTAATGACATTTGTGTAATATATTGTAAATTGAAAGGGTAGTTAGAAATAAATACTTTGTTATGGAACAAACCAAAATAAAAAAATCGATATATTGTTAAGGGACGGAGGAAATATTATTTATATATATATGACTAATAAATATATTGAATATAATTAACTAATTAATGTGGTTAATCAATAAAAATAATAATAATATAATCAATTGATAGTTAATTGTTTTTGTTTTTGTTTTTATTTTTATTTTTTTTGGAATATGGCAAAATAAATAAAGTTCTTATCTTATTATTTATTTCAGTGTTTTGCGTTTAGATACAAACTTAAAATAAAAAATTACTTGTCCACATTAGTTTTGCAAATTATTACACACTAGTAATGAGTATTTTAATTAATGTGGCTAATCAATAGAAAAATAATATAATTAATTAATAGTTAATTTTTTTATTTTTCTGAAATATGGTAAAATAAATAAAGTTTTTGTCTTATTTTTTAAAAAAAAGTTTTATATCTACACGCAGAACTGAAATAAAAATTACTTGTCCGCATTAGTTTTACAGATTATTACACACTAATAATGAGTATTTTAACCTAATACTAAATTATACTTCCTCCGTCCCACCTTTTATGTCCATATTGTTGTTTCTGTACGTCTCATATTTCATGTTATTTTCCTTTTCTGGAAAATAATTATGGATTTTAATCTAATTTTAAAATTTTTAATTTTAATTAAACTAATTAGTTATTTTAATTTTAATTTATAATAATTTATATTATAGATTAATTATTTTTATTTATATATTCTTAATTATTTACTAATTATATTTATTCTAAATTCTCGTGTCTACAGTAACCAAAACTTCCAATGTGGGACGGAGGGAGTACAATATTTGAAACCTAATTAATTAATCCACGTGCTTAGATCATCTCCAACCCACTGCATATTATACCAAAAATGGGGTATGCACACTGTTACTCTACTCCATTTTTTAAGTTGAGTTTTTGTGGTGTTTTTTTTTATTTTTATTTTTTTGTATCTTTTTGGTGTATTGTGTAATTTTAATTTTTTAGTAGATGATATATAATTTTATATTTTAAAAAGTTGTATGTGATTTTATTTTTTTGAAAAATAATGTATAATTTTATTTTTTAAAAGTGATATCATTTTAGTTTTTGGAAAGTATATATAATTTTATTTTTTAAAAAAATAATGTATAATTTTATTTTTTACATTGATATATAATTTTACTGTTTGAAAAGTGATATAATTTTTATTTTTTTAAAAATAATGTTTAATTTTATTTGTAATAGTTATTAATTATAAATGTTAATTTTTTATATATATAATTTTTAAATAAAATATAAATTATATGTGTATGAATTTAATGTAAAAATAAATTAAAGTTAAGGTGTAATTTATAAATATGAAAAATTATATAAAATAATATAAAAGAGGAATATATAAATAATACTCCCTCCGCCCCAGATACCATGTTCACGTTGCCGTTTATGCCCGTCCCGCATACCATGTCACTTTTCTTTTTTGGAAAATGATTACACACTTTAATCTCATTTTAAATTTTTTTATTTTTATTTTATTTTTAATTTTAATTAAATTAATTAGTTATCTTAATCTTAATTTATAATTATTTATATTATAAGATAATTATTTTCACTAATACATTCTTAATTATCTACTAATTATACCCCTCCTAAAATATTGTATCTACAGTGTAGCAGACACGGTATCTGCGACGAAGGAAGTATATTTTTAGAGTAAAAATCAAAGTTTATGGTTGAAATAAAATTACCGTAGATCAGCTACATTTTTACAATAGAGCTAGGTTCGGAGGTTAGTACTTGTCCACATTAGTTTTGCAAATTAATTAATACAGCCATCTGTTAGTGCTGCCCAGTTTATTTTGTTTTTTTGTGTAACAAACTTTCATATTCCTTTTATATATATATATATATATACGTATTTTGTTTCTATAAATGTGTGAAATATACAAAAGAAAAAGGAAGTATCCCTCCATTATGTTATTTTGCTGCAACCTAATATTGCGGAATTACTGGTGGAAAAGAAATATCCAAATATTGTATATATTCTACCGAAAAAACATCGAAAATATCAATATTTCGGTATATACATTAAAATTTTTGGTATATATTGCAATACCAAATTTTTTTTCGGTATTTCGGTATATGTCGAAAATATCGTATATCATTTTGATATTTTAATATTCGATATATCTGTGATATCCCCGAAGTTGGGTTGTTGTTTGGTCAATTCTCGTGTGTAGATCAGCCAGTATTGGGTCATCCGAAGTTGCTTAGAGGGTAAATGAATTAAATAAACTACTCATCTCAACAATGTGCATATTCCTCTTCGGGAGACCTAAAAGAACTCTAAAATTAAGAGTACTTGTCGTAGGACAGAACCGAAATGACTCGTGTTGACTTGTGGAGTCAGTCTACAATCCCAATACGCTCAACTTTTCGTAGCTTGCGAGCCGGGGTGTTACAATATTGGTACATAGTGAAAATATTGTTATACCAAATTATCGGTATAGTACGGGTATAGTACGATATGTATATCTGTCATACCGAATTTTCGGCATTGTATCGGTATAGGAAAATATCGTACCGATCCACCACTATGCAGGATTTATTTTTATTTCATAGTTTGTCTATTAACTTGTCTTGTTTGGTTTAATTTGTAAGCTATTAAGTTAAGTTGGAAGCTTAGCTAAAGTGCACTCGAAGGGTAACGATTGCAAATTTTCATATTATTAGGGTTGGATATGGTTCGATTATTTGCAAATATGTAGGTATTTGATATTTGAACCGAACCGAACAAATACCCGAAATCGCGAATTGTATCCGAAAAAAAAAATTTCAGTTAATCGAATTTCAGTTAATAGAAAATATTTTCAATAATTCGAACCGAACCGAAATTAAAAAATATATATATATTAAAAATAATTAAAATTATAATTAAATTAAAATATTTGCAAATATTTCAAATATCACAACAGAAATCGAACCGAAACCGAACCAAATATAATTATTAATATAAATTTTTAAATATAATAATATAAATATATTCGGTTCGATTAACCCAATCAAAAAAATATAAAAAATCGAAATTGAATCGAACCGAACAAATATCAAATATACAATATTTTATATTCGAATCAAATTTGTTTGATTAACCGAAAATCGGTTCGATTCAGCGATTTGATTCGAATTTTTTTTGCCCACCCGTAAGTTATATTGCCTCTCTGTTCCCTCTCTTTTACTTTTATATGTCACTTTCTTTTTTCATATGTCACTTTCTTATCTCTTTGAATAGAGGAACAAAGAATTTGGAAATAAGAGATTTGAAGGCAACACAAACCTAACACAAGCCTAGTACAAAATTTGTTACTTGTCCATATCATAGTCTTATAAATTATTTCACATTAATAATGAGTTTTTTTAACTTAACATGAATCGTATATATAATTTACCAATTTCATCGGAGGATTTTATTTATACTTTTGTAAAATTTATTATTATTATGGTTGATGCCGATTTTCAACAATAAAAAATAAAATCCGAAAATACAAATTATCTTCGAATTTGATAAAATAAAATGTCCGAGATTTAAGAATTCCTATACACTGTACGAAAAACTAGAAAAATAAATACTACAGACTGAAAAAGTAAATGGTGATCCCCAAAGCAATTCACTGAATTTGATGTCGATTGAAGATGGTTTCTTTAGGTCATGAACAGACCTATTTAAAACCTATGTCAACCGCCACAACCAGGTCGTGTCTTCATATCCGCTTGTCGATTGTAACTTCTCTCAATCGTCTTATAACCGCTTTTCGTCCGATCGGCACACCTGCTGCTACGTCTCCTCTTGCCTGCCTTCCACTTGTCCGATCCGCTCGCCGGTTGTAACTTCCCTTATATGCCTTCTAAGTCAGTTATCAGATCGTGCACTACCAATTATAACTGACAGAGAAACCTCATCGTGTTTACAACCGTCTGAAAAACTCTATTTGGTCGCATTTATATTTAGCCACCGTTTGCCCACACTATAACTTTGAAAACAACCTTCGCGTTTTCAGACGGATCATAAATCACCACCCGACTGAGAAATCGTCTGGACCATCCACTGACTGAACCTACCGAATAACCCAACGATTGACCAACCGACCTAACCTAACGATTGACCAACCGACCAATCCAAATACTAACTGGTCGCTAGACCAAACGACTAATCAGTCGCCCATTCGAGCAACCACCATTCAATCCCTTCAAATGGCTAAACAACCATTCGTCCAGACGATTCATCGATCGCCCAATCAAGCGACCACCATCCAGTCCCTTCAAACGGCTTGAACAACTGTTTGACTAAATGACCGGCCAATCGATCAGACGATTAACAGGTCGCTTAATAAGCGACCAATTAACAGACCTTTCTTCGCCCGACTAATTAACAGACTTTTCCTCTTGTCCGACCTCCGTGTCTGCCCTCTCATCTTTTTTCGCCCGATCTCTTTTTGACCGACCTCCGTATCGGTCGTCTCATCTTTCTTCGCCGGTCTTCCTTTTGGCCGACTTCCGTATCGTCCTTTATCTTTCTTTGCTCGTCTTCCTTTTGTCCAACCTATTCAACGATATCCTAATCACAGGTTTCTCTCGAAAAAAACCTATTTCTTAGTAACACTTGGGCCGTTTAGTTTATATTCAGACCCATTTAGATCACACTGCCATTAACAGACCCATTGAACTATACAACAGTCCACAGCCATAAACCCATTCTCAAAAAACCTGAACAAATTTTTTTGTTACTCAACAATTATTTTTTTAAAAAAAAAAAAGTAAAGTAAATGGATCCCATATATGAATATAATATATATAGAAAAAGTGAAAGTTAGTGAGCCGTTGCACTCACTAGAGTCCCACATAAAAATAAAATAAAATAAAATAAAAAAGTGTGTAATTTTTTGCTTATGTTTTTTTAGAGTTTTTTTTTTTTTTTGTATTGAGTTTTGATTAAAATTTAAATTACTATTATTTAATTATAAATTTTTAATAAAAATATATTATTATTATTTTTGCAAAATAATATATTAAAATATTATTTAAATTAAAATTCAAACAAAAAATTTATAAATATAATAAACCTTAAATTTGCTTTAGGCTAATGGTTTAACAAATAATATCCGATACGATTTTCAATATATAAATTTTTAGATTTAGGCTTCTTTCTATTTATATTTTGAAGTATTTTCTTTTATAATAACAAATTATTGATCATTTTTTTGGGCTAATTGATACATTTTTCATAATTCATAATGAATAATTAATAACTTAATCTTTTCTCTGCACAATTGTTATCATTGTAAAAAAAATTTATTTTTTTATAAAATATCATATTAAATACTGTTTAAATTAAAATTGAAAAAAAAACTATTTTTCTAGAAATTAAAATAACTAATAGGGTAATAGCACATGTTATCCGTTATGCTCTATACGGTATTTTTATGTACGGATTAATCAATGATGATAAATCTTCAATCAATGTTCTAACGACAACGTTTTTTTAAACACAGACATATGAGACACCCTCAAATACACGTATGAAAATACAAAATAAATGGAAAATATCTATAATATGGTATAATTTCCGTGTTGATTGAATCAAATCAGCACCACTATGTTGATTTGGCTCAATCAACACATTTAAGTAAAATATATATACATTACATGTTTAACGACACAAAATAATATAATAAATAACATATATTTTGACGGCACATGATAATACAATATACATCCTAATATATTATCAATTTCAGCACAATAGACGTATTTATACAACATAATACAATATATAAAATATACATAAGTATGTATTGTTTGCTTTGCAATTATGTTCTGTCATAATATCAATATTATGCTTATTTGACCCATCAACATTATAACCACCACCAATAATATCTAGGGATATTAATACAAACTTATTTAATAAGTTGAATTAAACATTTATTATTAAATTATCAATTTAACACTATAAATAAATATGTAATATATGTTGTAGTCAATTTGTTTAAAGTTTTCAGACATAACCAAATTCTAATAAATATTCATTGGGTGAAAACATTTCATAGTAAAGAAATAAAAATTTATAATAAGAAAAGAAAGAACAAGTTGTTTTGAAGTTATTATTATTATTTTTTTAATTTTTTTATTTTGATAGTAGTAGTTATTTTTGTAGAAAAACAAATATATTTTTATAAAAAATATATAATAATTATATAATAAAAATTGAAATCAAACTTAAGGTTTGTTTATTCAATTTAATTTTTACCACACAATTCTTAATATATATATATATATATTATATTCTTCTACAAAAAATAATACTCCTCTCGTCCATTGAAAAGTTGCAATTTTCATTTTCGTCCATCCCAAAATAAGGTTACAATTTCCTAATTTAGTAATTGTACTACCTACCTAACATAATAAATATCTTTTAAACTTATAATATATTACACAAATGCCATTATTTTTATATTACACAATACTAATAGGGATGTTTTCGTCTTTTTCACTATAACCCATTAGAATACTAATGGGAGGGGATCCTCAGCGCCATCCACTCCCTGTCCCACACACACCCATGTATAGATACATGAATGTGTACCTTATAGATACATGAGTGTGTACATTATACATGGGTGTTTGATGATGCTGAGAGTGGAGCAGGGAGGGGTGATGCTTAAGATCCCCTCACAATACTAATATTAAAAAATCTACGTGTAAAAAGTAAACAACAATCTTGCATCGGGACGGAGGGAGTATTTAATATAAAATATTATTATTTTTTTATTTCTCAATACAATCTTTTATATTTCACATCAAAAATACTTCACACTAAAACACAATCACATCCTTAATCACATCCTTAAAAATAAATAAATACACTTGCATGTAGCATGAGTTTTCATTATTTCCTTAAAAAATAATTTACACTAAAACACAATCACATCCTTAAAAATAAATAAATGTTATGACTCATTCATAGAGTATATGTGTCATTTAATTGGATTATCAAGTCATCAATTGTGACCGTGAGGTCATGGATTCAAATCCCCGACGCTTCAGGTCACCTGCCACACATGGCTCGCTTAGTGTGACTTTCCTCGGGCCTGGTTTGTTAGGTATTAGGTTCGGCCGGAGGTGCATTTTCGGGTAACGACTGCAGATTCCCACGTCATTAAAAAAAAAAAAAAAAGGTGAAATTTGTGGAATAAAACACACATTTTAAGTTTTAATTTATCTATCCTCACTCACTCTTTCTCATACGCTTTCTCTCTCAAAACATAAAAACAGACTTTCAGTTATGTATATATATAGTCATATATTATATTTTGTATACTTATATATCACGTTATATTATTATATCTCAAATCAATAAAATACATAGGGTATGTTTGTTCATTGGTTTTGGAATTAGTTTGGATTTTGGAATAATAAATTATTAAATCAAAATAATTATTCAATATATTTTAAATATATATTGATGTAATATTTTAAATATAATTATTGTAATTTTAGCCATTCGAAAATTTATTCTTTTACCCACAGTTCAGCTGCATCGTTACCGGAGGAGAATGGGCCATTGTCGCTCACCGGTTAAAACGTCGAAGTCACCGGTTGAATTTTGATGCGCAATTGGAAAATCGCAAACCATATTAGAAATCTACTCTCTCCGTCCCGAATAAAATATCCGCATTACTACGTGATTAAGAAATATATTAAGAGATAACTAAATATTTCAATTAAGATTAAGAAAATTATAAATTATAAAATTTAAAATATAATTAAAGTGTATAATTATATATATATTTTTAAAAAAGATAAATTATATGGAAAAAATCCAAATAAAAAATAAATATTAATATTAATTTGAGGTTAATTGAATTTCGCTTCCACTAATTAAATCGTATATTGTAAAAGCCAACAATACGAGATATAGATTTACAACCATAACATTAATTTTTCGTACGATATAAAAAAAAAAAATTGGTATTTTTTGAAAAAAATAAATATTCTTTTCATCTACTCTCAATCCATCTTATCATTTTGATTTGTTAAAAAATATTAATCTAAATCTTTTTTAATAATTTTGTTTTTTATTTAAATAAAGATACGAGGAAGGTGTGGAGCTGGACCGAAGACGAACTTCTAATCAGTGCATGGCTAAACACAAGTAAGGATGCCATAACTAACACTGACCAATCAAGTAGTGCTTTCTGGAAAATAATTGCATCGTACTATATGGAGAACAAGCTTGAAAGTGCAACGAGCAGAGGTGTTACTCAATGTAAAAATCGTTGGAGTAAGATATGTAAGGCTGTGCAAAAGTTTGTTGGGTGTTATGAGGAGGCTAATCGAAACATAGGCAGTGGACATGAAAGCAAGGATGTCCTCAATGCAACAAAGAAGATATATTCAAATGACGATGAGAAGAAAGATTTCGTCCATGAAGATGCTCGGCGTATACTCAGAGATGAGCCCAAATGGAAGGCCAGTTACTGCGAATCATCTCGTAACAGTGGTGGAAGTTCAAAGCGAACGAAAACAAGTGAAGATGGTGGTTATTCAAGTTCGTGTTCGGCGACACCATACTTTGATGTGGATGACCCAACTCCTCCTACTCGCCCCCCCGGTATTAAAGCAAGTAAGAAGAGGGAGAAACAAGTGCAAAATGAGGATTTCACTTCCAATCCTACTAAAAAATATGAAAAATTTTACGAAAAAACAGCGAATTTAGCTCAAGTATGAAACATATGGCAGCAGTCAAGAAACAAAGTTTGAAGCAACAATCCGAGAAAATAGAAGCACTTCTGAAAGCTAAAAGGTTGGAAAAAACAGTGAGGAAGATTGATCGGGATGCTAAACGACTACAATTTGCTTCAAATAAGATGGAGATGCTCATGATGTTAATGGCCAAAGGTGATGATAATCTAACTGATTTTGAAAAAGAGTGAAAGAAAGGTTGGCACGCGAATTCTTTCCGTAAGTTTGCATTCAAATTTATTAGTATTTTTTCATTTTTTTTTTAATTATTATATGTATTGTTTGCAATTTTAATTAGGTTGCGTAAGTTTGCATTTAAATTTATGAATAGTTTTATGCATTTTCAATTAATATTTGTATTGTGTGTAATTTTAATTAAATCATGTAAGTTTACTTTTAAATTTATGAATATTTTCATTTACTTTTATTTTTATTTGTATTATGTGTAATTTTAATTAAGTTATATATGTTAATAAAAAAAAAAATTTTTAATCAATAATTATAATTAAATTAATAGTAGATATTAGATTAAATGTTTTATAAAATATTCATTAAAAATTTTTTTAAAATAAATATAAAAATATATTTAAATTTTCTATTATTACAAATATTAAATAAAAATTTATATAATAAATTTAAATAAAATCTTTAAAACAAACAAATTAATATAAATATGATATATATAATTTTAATATTATTTATTAAATATGAAAATAGGCACCTTGGTCCACCCAAAAAGAACAATTACAGGAAAGAACTTTATCTTCCCAACATGCGGTTCTTGTGTCAAACAAATTTTTTTATTTTTTATTTTTAGTAAAATAGTGACGTGGGAAGCGCCCGTTGTGGATGGTCTAACAACTCAATTCTAGGAATGTCCACTTAGACAGTGGAGATGCCATGTAGGCGGATGTGCTTGTCACCTGTATTTTTTAGGTGTTAGGGGATAAAAATTAGACATTGAATTGACGTATTGTCCTAAATTGCAAATTTCCACGTCACCTGCCACATAGCGCCAGCGTAGCCACGACTGCTCATGTGAGGCGCACATGTTTCTTTCCGACGCCGGAGAACATTTTTATGACTTCGGAAGAATTTATCATCCTTAATTAAAAAAATGCAAAAAAGAAAAAAGAAAAAATTCAAAAATAATAATGAAACCTTAGGACATTTTTCTTGTATTTTTTTCTATAAAAAAATAAATGTCAAATAAACATAACAAAATTATTCAATTAAATTTTAGATCATTACAAATAAAAAATAATAAATTTTATCATAGATAAAAATTTTAATTCTTGAGATGGCGAACCAACATTCAGTCGAAGGGTGAGTTAATTTTCAAAAATTTTAAAGTAACACTATTGTTACGTACGAAATTTAGAGTTAGGTTAAAAGCCCAAGGTAAAAAGAAGAATGGGCCTGAAAATAGGGTTGATTGAACTGGCTGAAGGACACCGTGAGGAAATCAAGGAAAATAGGTTTATTTCTAAGGAAAATACAAGACGGAAAGACCTCAGGTCGGAAGGTTTTCAGGTCGGGAGGTCCTCAAGACGGAAAGTCATCAGGACGGAAAGACCTCAGGTCGGTAGGTCCTCAAGACGGAAAGACTTCAGGTCGGAAGGTCTTCAGGTCGGTAGGTCCTCAAGACAGGAAGACCTCAGGTCGGAAGGTCTTCAGGTCGGGAGGTCCTCAAGACGGAAAGTCATCAGGACGGAAGGACCTCAAGTCGGAAGGTCTTCAGGTCGGGAGGTCCTCAAGACGGAAAGACCTCAAGTCGGAAGGTTTTCAGGTCGGGAGGTCTTCAAGACGGAAAGACCTCAAGTCGGAAGGTTTTCAGGTCGGGAGGTCCTCAAGACGGAAAGACCTCAAGTCGGAAGGTTTTCAGGTCGGGAGGTCATCAAGACGGAAAGTCATCAGGACGGAAGGACCTCTGGTCGGTAGGTCCTCAAGACGGGTGGCCTTCAGGACGGGAAGTCAGCAAGTCGGGAGGTTCTCAGGTCGGGAAGTTCTCAGGTCGGAATTCTGCGGCAGAACCAACAAATCGGGCGGTTTGTTAGTCGGGATGTCTGTAGCTAATTCAAACAAGTCAGATGGTTTGCAAGTCGGGAGGATTGGCAGTCGGACCCATACTATTGTAGATTGGCAGTCGGGCTAAAAGGGCGGAAGGTCTGTAGTCGGCTCAAAAGAGTGAAATATAGGGATAATTTTGGTCTGCTGAGGACACGTGTCAGCAGGAGAAGGGTTGGAAGACGGTTGGGAAGGAGACGTTGTAACCGTTCGGGCGACGGTTTTCAGTACAGTTTCTTCAAAGAATATTTAAGGATTTGGATCATCATTTGGCAAGGCATCTTCAATCAACTTCAACAAAGCAAAGTCAGATTTGGGGATCACCACTTTAAATTTCAGTCTTTTATTTTCCAGTTTATTTTCTGTACCATACAGTGTTTAGAGATTCCTAATCTCAGGCACTAATTAATCAAGTTTAAGGATATTTTCTATATCTTTGAATTTTACTTTATTTTTGTTGAAAAATTACATCAACAACTATATATATATATATATACACATCTATTTATTTTCAAATAATTATACTATTTAAATTGCTATATTTTAAAAATTAGGTTGAATATAGGATGTATTATTTTAGCTAAAAAATATACACATATAATTTTCAAAAAATAATATAAAAAATAATATAGAATATCCTGTTTCGAAGTTCCTCGGGGCATCCGCAACGGTGAGATCTTCACCCAGGAGATCGCAATTCTCTCCTCCACATTATTGCCAGAGAAGCAAAAAGTTTTCTTTAAAAAAATTAAAAAATCTCTTGGACATCTTTGCGGAGATGTTCAAGAGATGATCAATACATTCTTTATTTTTTTTTTATATTTATATATATATTATATTATATATTTTATATTTATGTATTATATAAAATTTTATTTTCTATAAAATAATATATATATTAATATATTTAAAAAAATAATTTTGATATAAATATAAATATAAATAATTTTTTTTTTTGTTGAGCAAGAGGAAGGAGGGTATAAAATGGAGGAAAGAGAATATAAAATAATATTTAAAAAATACTTTGATGGATATCTTAGTTACGAATGGCCTCTGGATATCTTAATTATTAGGGTATGTTTGTTTGAGGATTGGATTTTAAATTCACTATTTATTTATTTATTTTTTTTTTTCTAAAAACATCAAATTAAACATCTATTTTTTATTTTTTATATTATACTAAAAATTAATTTTATATTCAAAACATCACATCAACATTTATTTATATCACATCATACAAATTCAAAATTTTTACTATACAAATTCTAATTCAAAATCCAAATCCCCGAACAAACATATAGGCAGTTTTTATTGACCTATTTTGGCTGGGCTAGGATTAGTCTCTCCAACATGATTGTACAGGCCAGCGTTTCGGCCGCTTAATTTCAACTACTGATCCCCGGCATTCCCGACATATGTATATTTATTTATTCATTTATTATTAATATACTCATGCTCTTTCTGATAATAAAAAATAAATAAATAAATAAATAAAAATTAAAAATTAAATTGCACAAAATTTATTTGTGATTTTATAAATTTGCGTTAAATTCCTATACTTCTAAAACTGTGTCAAATTATCTTGTGGTTTTATAAACTCTGTCTCTAACCCCTCGACGCTTTTTATTTAACGGTATTTGACCTAAATATGCCCAAATTACGAATAAATTTTAGAATATCAATTTCTAAACCCCTAAAATTACAAATATATTTATTTTTCTTATATTTAGCATTACAAAAATAGTAAATATACTCAAAATTAGCTATTTTTTTCAAGTTTTAAAAATTTATTTTTACGGTTTTTTAAGCTAAATATAAAAAAAATAAATATATTTTTAATTTTAGGGGTTTAGAAATTGAGATTTTAAAATTTATTCACAGTTTTGGATGCATTTAAGTCAAATACCGTTAAATAAGGAGCGTCGAGGGGGTGAGACGCAAAGTTTATGAAATCATGAGGAAGTTTGGCGCAGTTTTTTAAATATGGGAGATTTAACACAATTTTGTAAAACTATAGATAGATTTTGTGCAATTTAGCTAAAGAAAAATAATAATAAAAATAAGCTGCCCACATATTGAATAGTAAGGTGGAGTCATGTAGTGAGTGTAGGGGTGAGCATTCGGACTTTCGGATCCGAAAATCCAAAATTTTTGAAAAAACCAATTCGAATCGAATCGAAATAACCGAAATTCGAAATCCGAATATCCGTAATCCGAACAAAAAAATCCGAACCAAACCGAAAAAATCGAAATTCTAAATATTTTTATTATTTTTTTTAATTTTTGAATTTCTTTTATATTTTATTATTATTTTATAATATTGAATATATATAATATATAAAAATTAAATATATTAAAATATAATTAATAAATTTGACTTTTTTTTTATATCAAAATATAATATTTTTTAATAAAATATTAAATATGTATAATAAAAAAATATATTCAAATGTTATATTTCGAATTTCGGATTAGTTCGAATTTTAAGTATACCGATCCGATCCGATTCAAAAATCCGAAATTTGTTAAAAATTCAATCCGATCCAATCCGAAAAATCCAAACCAAATTTAAAATTTCAATTTGGTTCAGATTGAATTTTCGAATTTAGGATATTTTGCTCAGCCTGACCCTAAGTGATTGGACTTGTGAGACCAACATTATAAATACAAAACCCAAAGCTTTTGTTTCTTTACTTAAAATTTTATCATATTTTATTATTTGAAGTCTGCATACAAAACATTTATATCGAACATTATTTAATATCAGTATTTCTCAATTTCGAAAGCCTAAAAATAACACATCATACCATTGTCATTATTGCCACAGAAACACGAACATTTCCAATTTAATCCTAAACAGAAGCTTTGTTCGTCGCAGCAGAAAATAGTATGACTCAGAGAACCAGCACACAATATACCTGCCGAAAAGTCCCGACACACATCATAAACCTTACAACATCAGCCCGAGTTGTCTCGACAAGGAAAACGGTCTCCTATTGAACATTTTAAATATGGTACTCGCGTGCCAGGACAGTCCGAGAAGGATATTCTGCGGAGTAAACGGGCTCGACATACGATGGTTGTTGGTATGCTGCAGGATAGAGATCACGGCTGCCAATGCCGCGGCGCCTCCTGATGTCATCGTCATGTTCAAACAGTTCTCGCCTGTAAGAGTCACTGAACTCAATTCCCCTGTAGACATCGTCACGACCTGACAACGGATCACTCTTGTTAGAGCTGTAAGCCACTGAATACGGTCTGTCAATGTATGACAGGCGGCGATCCGCATATGAATCTCTGTATGATTCGCGAATTCCCACTATGTAATGATCCCGTTCATCTCTGTACGGACTGCTCCGGTCCAAATAGGAATCTCGACCATCTCTAAGTGGAAGATAGTAAGGATCAGAGCGGGCTGGATAGCGAGACACCAGGTCAAGATCACGCAAATCTCTGTAAGATTCACGGGGCCTTATTATTCTATCTTTTCTTTCTCTATAATGGCTCCGACCATCCAAATATGAAGCTCTCCCATAAGGGTCGACATCAGTAGTCCTCCCGTAAGCATGGGGAGGTGACATAGGGGCTAGAGCAGATGGGGATCGACGCAGTGCTACTACTGAGCTAGAAACTCTCCTAGAGTGCTTAGGAGAACGATTGTTGTACCGGGGATCATCTTCTGGCTCACGGCGCCTCTTGTCGCCGACTCTTTGCTTTCTAGCTCTGTCTCTTTGTACAGGGTGCTCTTTTTCGGGTCTGCTGACCCTTTTAGGCCGTTTTCCTTTGCTCGAGGCAACAAACATTCTACACAATGCCTTAACCTGTGGAGAAAGTGTTCCAAATGATTTAGCAAAGAGTGATCTACATTCTACAAGCGTAATGCATCCGTGTGGACAGTAAATTACGGTGGTGCGGTGATCTACCTGGTCGGAATTGAGCTTGCAATCAAACTTGCTTTTTGTGAAGTAATTGTCCTTTATAACCTTCTTGAATTTCTCCTCTGGTAAAGGCAAGCAATCGTCCAAAGTAGTGAACCGTACCTAATACAAGACCCTAAGTTATAATCTATCAAGATAGATATCAAGCACAAGCAATCAAGGAATCCTCTCTCTCACTAACCACATGTCGATGTGTACCAATTCTTTACAAATCAAATGTCAAATTCCACAGCAGAACAATTTCACAATCTTATCGGAACAAAAGTGGTAACAAGCATGGAAAAATAGTAATAAAGAGCTCCAGAAAATAACAGATTAGACACTAAAGCAAGAACACCTTAATTTTTTATTTTATTGGGTGAGAGGTATTTGCTACGATCCATAATATGCAAGGGTTAAGAACTCCATCTATAGGAATATTTCTTTTTTCACTTGGAAAACCATAAAAATCATCATTATTCTAGCATGCCACATTCAATATTTCAACACATTTATACCCTTCCCTTCCCCTTTTTAGTTTCTTTCAAAATGTTCTTTGTTTCCTAGTTTACAATTCTCTTATCCAGTTTTAAGTAGATTCCTTTAGGATTATCATTTGTTATTTGAATATTTCGAGAAAATACAAGTTGATAAACAATATAGAGTTATTATTTACTTCCTCAACCAAATTGTAAGTTGTTTTAGAAAATTTTACATACATTAACAAAAATGTAGAATAACAAATACAATTGATTAGAAATACACAGGGGAAGAATAGAAATAAAAGAGAGAATCTTTTATTTTAAAAAAGTGAAAGCTACAATATGAAAAGGATGAGTTTCAAATTCAACATATATTTTATGATGGAGGTCGCTAGCATTTTATTAAATTAATTTTAGCTTTAATATATGAAATTTGTAATATATTTTAGCAAGAGACATGCTGCAATATGTGCCAGAACAGTTAATTAATATCTCTCATCCAATACAGTGTCAGATAGATTAATACTTTCAATTTGATATCCTGCGAAGATCACTAAGTCATGAACAATCTTTTGATACCTATACTAAACACAGCACTGTACAAAAATGGAACAAAACTGCACCCTCCTACAGATAACATTTATCTTTCAAAAGCACTATTAAAAGATCAGTGGAATTAATTACTGTGGGCATTAAATTCTTTTTTTTTTTTTTTTTTTATATTTTATATTTTTTATTTTTTCTGTCGACAGTTACAAAAATGAAGCAACACACCAGCAAGATGCAAAATAAGAATAAACATAATAGGAACTCTAAACTCAAAATCACATCTCCCTTAAAAGACAGGCGGATCCTGTTAAGTGCAAATCTCACATGAAATCAATTACATAAAGGGTTCATGAGCATGATATTGATAAAAAGGTTACGCACAGCAAAGTCACACAATTAAAAAGTTTATCATCATTAAACATAACAAACCATCTTCCAAAGTTTATCAATCCTTCTACAAAATGAGGCAGAACAGATCCTATAAGTTGTAAGTTGTAAGCCAAGAGTTAAAAAAATAAAAAAATAGATAATGTGATAGGCCAGGAGTTAGGTTTACCTGGGATGGAAACTGTGATTTAAAGGCCCTCGGCTCAATGTTAAAACCTCCAGGTCCTGCAGCTTTATAGATTCCATACAACAGTTTTAGATCAACATCATATAAGAATAGCCGCATCCCAGCATAAATCTTTTCCACAATATCTTTCTTGCTTTCTGGAAGACCAAGAACCTTGTACTGATAGCAGTCCTTCTTTGTCTTGGAACTGCACATGAAAATCATTCCCATGCTCTCAACTCTCTTCTTTCTCTTTTGTTTACTTGATGATTCGGGCTTGTCTCTTGATTCCATTTTCTTCAGCCTTTGAGCTTGGACTTTCATTTTGCTCCTTCCACTTGATTCCTCTATCTTCTTCAACTTTCCACTTCGTTTACTTGATTCCTCAATCTTCTTCAACTTTTCACTTCCTTCACTCGGTTCCTCAATCTTCTTCAACCTTCCACTTCCTTCACCCGATTTCTCATTCTTCTTCAACTTTTCACTTCTTTCTCCCAATTTCTCAATCTTATTCAACTTTCCACTTTTTTGATTTGGTTCCTCAATCGTCTTTGAACTTACTTTCACCTTTTGTACGTCTTGCACTTCAGTGTCCTTCCGAACAACTATTGCTAGCTCTTCATCATTTTGAGCATGTTCATCACTGACATCTTCCATTGACTCTTCGTCGCTGTATTCAATCTCTTCACTATCTTCTTCAATAGCTTTTTCCTCACTTGGTTTATCCCAGTCATCATCTTCATCATCGTCCTCTATTGCCTCATCTTCATCAACTTCATCTTCATCAATAGGATTTCCATCCCTTTCAGAATCTTCGTCATCATCTTCCGTCAGTTCATCTTCCTGATCATCCATTTCATCATTTTCAGAAGTATACTTATCTGATTCAGCCACATCAAACGAGCCTGTCTCAACTGTATTTTCATCATAATAGTCTACCTTTGCTGCTTTCTCAGTTTCTTCCACGCACAATGCTTCTTTTATTTTAATTATATTTTCATCAACTGTTGCTTCTTTATCTTCCAATTCAGCCCCCAAATGCTTTCCTTCCATCTTCGCTATCAGCGACTCAGAAGTTTGTTTTTCAGTTGAAGCATTTTCAGAAGCTTCATTCTTAGTTTTATTCAAGCTCTCAGATTTCTTTTTGCCTCTGGTATTGACCATTTTCCGCCTTAAAAAATCGAAAATAAATATTAGATGCATCCAATGCTCAAAGAAAGCCAAAATGGTAAAGAATTTAAAGATAATATAAAAACTAGAATGCAAGTACCTATGGAATTGGATGAAAAATTCAGTTCTACCTACATTCACAACATGAATAACTACTCTATTAGCTTAGTCTATGGATATAATGAAACAAAAAGGTCACTTGCCGTCTTCCTAACTAGAGAAACGAGATGTGTAGCAATTTTTTACATTGTCAAATAAATGTTTACTAAAACTGCATCTTGAGATTACTGATAAGTGAAAATCATCAAAAAACTTTATGGCCGTAGAAATTGAATATGGCTTACACTATACAAATAATTTTTTCAATCCCAATCCCCAGTTGTGTCTGTATCTTCATTCTCGACTGTGATAGATTAACTTGAACCACATAATTATTTGTCATGTTATACACAATTGAAGAAGTAATGCAGCTTTTACATCTGGCTAAGATATAAACAATAAAGCTAAAGGTTTGAACCCCAATAGGAACAATTGAAAGCTATTTTCCAAGAATGTTGTGCCCAAGAATTAATGTGTTAAACTGTAACTATTTTCCATCTCTTCTGTTGGAACTCCATGCCATTGGTGTGGAAATTCATTCAAAGGGGCATCTGCACAAACACCTTGAACTCCAGATTGCAGAGAGGATACCAAAAGAAAAACAACGAACAAGGTAATTCTCATCATGAAGGCTCTCTAGGTCCAGCAATGAAGCTTATCACACCATTCAGCACTAAAAATTCCTAATCACGATAGCCACAATAACGAACCCTAAATATGAAAAACTATCATCCACTTGCAATAAGCCAGCACCTCCACTGAAGTTTGAAACTGCAAAATTTTCATCTACAGAAAAAAAATTATGTGCGCCCAAGATCCCTAGCCACAAAAAGAAACTGGTACAGAACAAATGAATAGCAAACTCAACTTAAAAGAATAAATAAAGAATAAATGAAGAATCCTTCCAAACTTCAGACCTTGTTCCTCCGAAAACCCAATCCCGAACACAAACCCAAATTCTAAATTCCTACAGCATAAAAAACGAATACATAATCAAACCTTTGAGGCGATGAAAACGGAAGATCCATAAGAAGAAAACCAAGCGATATCCCACCTGCAGTCGTCGAGCCAAATTGAACGAACCTAGGGATTCCGCCACAAACCAGCGAACGTCGTCGAAAGCTCCAATATCTTCGCTACCAAAGGCGAGCAAAAATCTGAGATAGCAGAATGCAACTAACTGACATATTTTAAAAGTTTTATTACAGACGATGAGATTATAGAAACTATTAAAGATGGTCGGACCGGCCCAACCTATTTTAATCCGGTCCAGAATCTCTACTTTGGGTTTGGTTTAGAGTCTTTATGTGGGCCTATCTAGGCCTACTAGCTAAGGGCGGCTTGGGCTAGCTTCAATGTATAAAATAGTTTTAGCAAAATAATGACACCGTTTGTTTGATGAGATTTTTGAAAAGTATAATTTTTTTGATGTCATATATAAATTGCGTAGAAAATATAAAAAGAAATATGCGTCTAATATATATTTTTTAAAAATGTGCGAAAAGAAAATAGATAAAAGAACAAAGCCACAAATATTCTTTCTGTTAAATTAGTCTAATATTTTTGAGGATGTAATTTAAGAAATAATATATTAGATGATTAATTTATGTAATATTTATAATATATTGTTATTTTAATTATTTTTATTTAGTGGAATATTAAAATAGAAATAAAAATAATTTTTCTTTTTTATGCCGAATATTTTATATTTTGAAATTATTTTCAACAAAAAATTTATTGTAACAATTGTAAAATAGTAATTAGGTAAAAAAAAAAAAAACAATTTTAATCATCCAAATGTAATTAAACAATAAAAGACTATAATTTTTTTTTTAATTTAAATAACATTTTGCACAAAATTCTTTCAAAAATAAATAAATAAAAAAATAATTTAATTATTAATTACAAATAATGTGATAGATAATTTTATAAATTTATTCTCTTTCACAAAATAATATCACCGTTCATAATAATATTTTTTCCGTCCGTCAAATTTAGTTTCATTCGTAAATATACAAAGAAATGAGGCTAAATTTATCGGACATGAAATAATATATTATTTTTTCTTACAAAATAATAATATTGTAATAATATTTTACAATTCTCAATAAATGACAATAAAAATACAAAATATTTTTAAACACTAAAGCACTAATTTGTGAGATTTTGAAATAGTTTTACTATTTTAATTTTTTTTTAAAATCAAATCAAAGACTTATTTTTTATTTATTATACTATACTAAAATTTAATTTTACATTCAAAATATCGTATCAATACATATTTATATCACATCAAACAAATACTTCAATTTAAAATTCTACTATTTAAAATAAAAACTTAAAATCAAAATCTCACACGTAAACACACCCACCTTTGTTTTTTCAAAAAATAAAAAAAATAAAATATAAATTCATCCCATTATTCATCGTTTTTCCCATTCAATATATTAAATTAAACATCTCAACAAATATTTTTTTAATACGTTCTATGATTAATATTATTAAAAAAAATACAATATATATTCTACAAACTTATAAAAAATTAACCATTTAACAAAAAAAAAATATTTTTTATATTATCAACACGCTCCTCGTAGCTAATATAAAAAATATCTCAAATTAAAAATACAAACAAATTAAATATATTTTTTATATTATATGAAAATTTAATTTAATATTTAAAATATCATATCAATATCTATTTATATCACATCAAATTTTAAAATTTTATTATCCAAAATCTTAAACTCAACTCTAAAATGTATTACTCAACAAACAAATGAAAATTGTTAGTAATTTCACACAATATATGTAAGTTTGTAATTTAAATTTTTATATGTTAATTATTATTTTATTAAAAAATATGATTAATTTGGTGGAACTGTCGAAAAAAAAAAAAAAAAAATTGGACTAATTTCGTAGAGGGAGCATTGTATTATGCTTATATGTTTTTTTTGTTGTCATATTTGTGATTTTGGATGATTTTTTTGGTAGGTTTTCGAACAATCATTCTAGCTCTATTAAAAATTAGATTGGATGTATATGGATCATATGATCTACCTACAGTGCTGATGTGGTTTATTTGGTGCTATCAAAATCAAACATATAAGCAAATTCATTTGGATAAAAAGAAGTGGGTCCAATAGTACTTTATAAAGAAGTTTCAATTCGACTTTTGAGATTGCTCCTCACTAATTTGCTTATTTCTGTAACATATTTGTAGTACAAGTTTAGATTTTTTTTTTAATTTTTTTTATTATTTTTAATGACGTGAGAATCCGCAGCCGCTACCCGAAAATACGTACTTTGTAAACCTCTGGCCGAACCTAATACACTGCAAATTAAGCCCCACAGACAAGTCACACTAAAAGAACCATGTGTGGCAAGTGAACCTGAAGCGTCGAGGGTTTGAACACATGACCTCATGGTCACAAGTTCAAAATAACCTATAGTGATGTATGTAATCTTGTAGTACGAAATTAACCTTTTGGTTGTGTAGGTGAAGTGACTAGTGTTTTTGGCTAACTGTGAGCAGACGTAGTAGTCGGTTAATTTGTGCCGGGTTTGTGTCGAGTTAAATATTTTCAACGGATTAAATTACTCTCTCCTAATCTGATTTGTTTATTATCGTATCGGATTTATGTTGATTCGTATATATAATTGGGTCGAAATTCTTGATCCAGATCTAATTATTTCTTATCGTTTTTATCGTATTATGTTAATTCTTTTCAGTTTTAGTGGTAATGTGTACAGTGAATTGGATTGAATTATTTAAAATTAACTTTAATTTAAATTAATACGTGGGTTGATTATTAAATTAAAATTATTTTACATATACAATAAATTTATTAATTAATACTAATATATTATAATCGGATTGTCGTGTCAGATTCAAGTTGAGGACATCAACCCCAAGTCGACACGTTAATTATCGTGTCAAGTTTGTGTTGACCTGTATATATAATTAGATTGAAATTCTTGACACAAACCCAATTATCTCGTGTTAGGTTCATATCAAGTTGTCATGTTCAGTTTGTTTTTTCCAGCTCTATCTGTGAGTGTGTGAGTGATAGATACACACGAAAATCGTATTAAGTAGGGGTGGTTATCATTAGTCTTTAGTTAGTGTTATTTGTTATGGAGTTTGTGTTGTTGTCATGGTCTTTGTTAGATTCTAATCCATGTGTTGTGTCAAACCCGATGGGCCAGAGGATCAACCCTCTTGTGCCATCAATCAGCCGAAGCCCCCTTAGTCCGAGTCATGCCAAAGAAAACTATCATGACCTGAGAAGAGATCTCAATAATAAGCTTGAAGGAAAAAAGGTGGACTGAACCACGTAAAAGACACCAATACCCTCAAGCCAAAGCTTATCCACAGGAAGATGCTCACATTTCAATTCAAAAACTTATTAGATCTATCCGTGTTCGTTAGAATTTCATGTTACTTTATCCCTTATCTTTAGGGGTTGTTAGGATTATTTTTGTTTTTTGCTATCTTCTGTTTGGCTTGTGTATAAACAAGCCAAAAACAACAACAATTTTAGCTTCTTTTTTTTTTTTTTTTTTTTTTTTCTCAACTAAGAAATTCATTACTACTTTACTTTCCTTCGTTTACTCTTCAGTTTACAACATATTCTTTGGTATATCAATATTCTACATGTTGATCATTCCATACACCGGCATAAGGTTACTTCGACAGAGTACACTTAGGCTAGCTAACTATTTTTGGATTTAGAAGGGTTCTTTAGAGTATCTTTGGGACCCATCATTGGCTTGAAATCTCTTGTCCAATGCAAATTGTTTGATCCGGGCACGTGTTTATTCAAAGGATCTTAGAGCGAGTAAATTTTGGAATCAATTATTGGTACAAGCAGTGGGACACTATTCGAACGTATGCACTTGCATTATGAAAAGAATATGAGAATGACGAACACAACATATCAACCTCAACACCATACTGGAGGTAACACCACAGCTAATGGATCTAGAAATCAGAAAAATGAATTAAACCAACTTGGCACTATTCTTGACGAGAAAGTTTCTTAGGCTGATACTATGGTTGCGATGATCAGAAGAGAGATTAACCAATGTTTCTATGCTAATATTGGAAATATAGCTTACAAAATATCTTGCAAACTGACTGATGGTCTAAGGCCGACCATTTAGAATGAGTTGTTTCCGATCCGAGAAGAGAAAAGAAAGGCACTTATAGGAATATCGGTTGGAATACTAACCAAGTCATAGACGAGAGCCCTATCACCCAAGGGGCAATATTCCTACCATGAGGGCATTAAGGAGGCCCAATAAACTCGAATCTTTATAGAGCAATCCCCTTGAGGAGTGACCATAGGGCATGCCCACCTATTTTCAATTGGACCAATAACTCAGAGTTGAGCCCAAACGTTTCACGTGGCTATCTCAAGTTTAGTCCAATATGCCATGGACTCAATTGTCGAAATTGAAAAGATAGTTAAAGAGGCACCTTCTGGATATTACATCTCTTATTTGCCCAACTCAAAGATCACTTAACCAAAATCTCAAGAATCGGTACTACAAATCAATAATACCAATAATTATAGAAGAATCCCAAAGTTTCCATATTACTTATAGATTAAGTTTCCTTTAAATTTGTTTCATTTCCACTATCTTCCTTGTTTAGAGTGTTTCCTTATTTTTTATGTTTCCTAGTTTAGTTGTTGCCTTTTAATTTGTTTCTCTTTTCAATGTTTCATTTCTTCTGCCGTCAATGACCTTTATATAAAGACATAATTTATCATTGCAACGACACACCACTTTATATTGCTTATAAAATTTATTCACTTTCAAGATTGATTCTTGATTGCTTGATTACTCGAGATTTTGAGAAGCAATCTTCGGTAGTCTTTCAAAATCGGCTTATTTTCAAGTGATTCAAGATAGTTCATCACCTTTCAATCGGCGTTTGCTACTTGTTGCGTCAATTCTATTTCTTGATTGGTTTAGAGATTTTGTGTTGTGTGCTGCTTAATTTTCACGTGGTGTCTATCCGACCAACCTTGTGGATCGAGAAGCCAAATTATCCTCCTATCCATATTCTTCCATCTCTATTCTTTCACCAAATTATGCATCTTTTTGTTACATTATTTTCTGTAGTTTGCGGGTTTTCGATCATTCGGTTACATTTGCATCATCTGGT